TACTAAGATTTCCCTTCAGTGGTAAAATTCCATATGAATATTCAATACTACAACGGGCACAGTTAAGACGTTTACTGTAAATCTTTCTACGACAGACCAACGGACCACGAGTGCCCCTGTTGGTCAACCAATCACGTACCGCGGTACCCCGCGTCATCTTGCGTCACGATGCACGACGCCGTAGCCAATCACCTCCGGTACGTGTCTGTACCGCGCACTTTGAATGGCTGCATCTGTACTCCTATTCATGCTTTAAAGATGTATATTTGTACTTAGGTATTAATCTTTTAAATAAGCATGTTTTTTCAATTGAATTAACATTTTCTGTTTTATGCCCAGTCAGTTTAAATTGAACTGTCTGTTGTTAATCAGCTCAGTTTACACATACATGATACTGTACTCTCCATATCTAACACCTGTCAGATCTGTACATCATGTGTCCTGTAATGGAGTTGTATAAGTGAGTCAATGCCAATTTGAAGGTGAGCTTGTCCCGCATTAATGCTGCTGTGAGCTTCTAGCAGATGTCACTGTTGTACAATAAGACAAGGTAATTCCAGTAAGACATTCTATGACAGAGTTAAGAGTTTGACAAATTGCAATTCTCTGCTTGTAGCATATTAATCACAGGCAGCCAATTACAAGTTTTTCTTTACTTGTACCTTTTTAGGTATTTGAGAGACATAACTATGTTTACAGTGAGTCAAATTAATTAGAAATACATACAAAGCACTTTCAGAATTTGAATGTTACACATAATTATGTAAAAGGATGTGTGTTCATTCATTCCTTTGAGTGTTTTTATTACAATGGAAATCCATAGCTGTAGTGAATTGAGAGTTTGGTGAGCTACAGCTGGGGTGGTGCTATATAGAGTAAATGGCCTGTCTGACTGCTCTGGAAAGAGTTCTGTGCCTCATAACATGGGGAATGAAGGAAAAGCACTTCCCCTTATACTGTATGCACTGCATGTCAGTGGAAAAGTCTCCCATAGCTGCCATAAATGTACTGTATGTTCAGTATGTGTAATGCAGAGCAATGGCTGAGATGCCAGTAACTGCGGAGAATGTGCATGTATGTCTGTGGGATAGCTGGTGCTGCTGGCTCTAACGTCACTGAGCTGGTAAGATGTATGTTTGTTTGCAGGTGCTGCTCCTAGTGTGCTGTGAGCATTATGCAGCAGAAGTGGAAAATATACAGCTGGATGACTACACTGTCCTCTGGAGCTCTAAGGGAGACTCCCGTCCAACACTACCAATGTGCAGCCATAGTGCGTCAGTACGCTGCCCATACACCAGCTATCAGTGGGGAGGATAACAGAGTGATGAAGCCAGTTTATAGAAGGGTATTATTAGGAGGGTCATGATTAGTAAAGGCAAATGGGAAATCTGGTATATTTTCAAGAGGAAAAATGACTCTTTGGGGGACTAAGAGATTTGTTAGTGTGCAGAGTCAATGCAAGAAAAAAGAATCAGAGTAGTGAGTGGATAAAAGATCATGTACAGACGGGTCTACAACAAGTTCACCCAGTAGTGTGGGGTCTGTCATGTGTTCAATGGTATAAAGCATAGAGTTCAAATATTTATATAGACATATTGAATATTAGCAGATTTGTAGCAATGAAACTTTTGGTATGCAAACTATATCAAATTTTGAAAACATTTTAACTGAATAATTTGTCATGTCCCAACCATAAATTGTTACTGTATTGCGTGAAATCAATATGAAACATGATTTTATTTATTAATTTAAAATATATTACATATAATTTTTTAAACATGACATTTCATAGCCTCTTACATTATAATTTTCTTACCACTGTCAGAGACTTTTTTTCTGATTTCTTTCATGAGCTTCAAAACATGTTCATTCATAATGCTCTGCTGATCTGCTGGCACAACGTAGACAAGACAGTGGGCCCTGTCATTCACAGTGGGATTCATGTTGTAATATTTTGAGTCATCATCGAGAGGATAGATTGGATTGAACTGGATGAGAGAAAGATAATAGAAATGAAATGAGCAAGGTACAATAGCTCTTTTTTAATTACTCTTATTGGATTCCATTCCTACTGTTCTATTTCAATCCTGTTTTTCTGTCCTCTGCCCTGTGGACCACAACATAATAAATGAGTTTTTGTGCACTGGAGGGTACCAATTCCCTGTACCTGAAACAACAAATATGGCACTGGACAACCTAAACCATTTTCACCCTATATCTGACCTAGCTTTTAATACAAAAATGTCATTGAATTGGTCCACATCGAATTGTACCACACCTTTTCTTTGCCACAAAGATAATCTAAATCCGCCTTCCAGCCCTAGCAACTGAAGCAAGGAGCAGATCAACACACATGGTTCAAAATCCTGGCTCTCAACAGTGGATGAGCAGAAAAGCTGTGTGTTAAGAACCTGATGGCCAGCCTGAGTTTACCATCTACCCTCGAGAAGATGACCTTGCTCGCCTTTCGCCTGGATACTTGTCTCCAGGAGCTCTGAGAGGAATGACACAAGATTGATCTGCCATCCTCTTCTGCCCACCCATTGGCACAAGCTTCTCCACATCTACAGCTCATGCTGAATCCAGAGCTCTTCAAACTACAACCAAGGAACCCATGCAGCTGGGGACAGAGTCTTCTTGATGTTTGATGGTTCTGGTCACTTTTGTAGCAGAAAAGTCCAAATTGCAAGAAGAAGTTTTTATAGACTTTGGATTGCCAGGAAACTCCATCAACATTGCCACTGCTAGGAGTCTACAAGTTTCTTTGGTACAGTGCTCACCCCCCTGCCTATCCATAGTCTAGATGGCAGTCTCTTAGGGTATCACTTTAAATGAGAAAATTCTTCATACAGAACAGCTTGATATTTTTTGCATTAATTTGCCTCAATGTCCTTTAATTTTCAGGTTCACTGGGCTTGCCAAACACGGCCCCAGTTACAACAAGTCCTTAGATTAACTAACTGCCTGGGGCCCTAAGTGCCAAGAATCCTGCCTTCAGAATTGACTTTACAACTGCACCATAGATCTTTTTGGGAATCCCCTACAAGTCATCTATTTACTTTATCTTTGCCAGAGACAAATGCTATGAAAAAGTATACAGATCCAGCCATTTAGAATGCACACTAGATTATGCAGCACACTGCACTGCACACAGCTCAACATATTGAAGCATACTGCCTTTTTTAAAAAAAAAATCTGTTGTGGGACTGCACTACTTTTTAAAATCACCATGTTGAAGCATTGAATGTGGCATGTGGAAGGATTTGGGCTGTTGCCAGAAAACTGCTTTTAAATTCCAGTCAATGCTGAGCTCCTCAAGATAATCTTTTTCCAATTATAGAATTTAAATTGTATACTGTTTAGATTTTTATTAATTTTAAATTAGTATTATAGTATGTTAAATATTAAATTGATCAAAAAGTAGGGCTATTTTACAACAACAAAATTACTTAGTTGGAAACTGTGTATAGAAAAATATTTTATTATTATACTGTAGCTTATTGTGAACATGATGTGCTTCTTTCAGGTTTACATCCAAATTGAGATAATCTATATTATGCATAATGCAAATTTCAGAAATAAGTAATCAGAAAATCAATTTAAATATATTTCACACATACAGATGCAGCCATTCAAAATGCGCGGTACATTCCCGCGGTACGGTAACCTACCCACAAGCCACCGCAGGGCACCGGAGGGCACCGCAGTAAGTGATTGGCTGGCCAAAATGACCAACAGGGGCACTTGTGGTGCATTGGTTGGTAGTGAAAAGATTTAATCATTTAATGTCTTTACTGTGCACATTTTAATCCGCTTAGTTTTGAATATTTATATG